CACCACCATTCCCCAAAACAAAAACAAACCCATAACAAAAAAGCTGAAAGAGCACACCCTCAACCTCATCCAGGCCTGTTTGGTGTTTCAGACATGATTCTGAGTTCTAGGGACATTTACTTCCCAAGTGAGGACTCTGCTTGATGTACCACTCTCAGACACCCAGAATTTGTAACATGTGGTCAAGAAAATAGTGAAGTGTGGGTCTATTCTAGGAATAACTTCATTGTACATAAATTAAGCAGAAATGTGTGATACTCATTTTAAAGGACTTTTTTTCCCTCACTTATATAGGATTGCCAAATGAGTGATAAATAAATTGTTATTAAATCTGGTAGGAGTGGTTGGGGAGATGGCTTAACTATTAAGAGCTCTGGTGGCTCTTGCAGAGGACCTGGGATTGGTTCCCAGCACCCACTGGTGGCTCACAACCATCCACTAGTTTCAGGGCATCAGATGCCCTTTTCTGACCTCTTTGGGCATTGCATGCACAGGTGCACTTACATTGTAGGCAAAACACACATAAAATTAAAAAAAAAATTTTTTTAATTTGGTGGGAAGGAGTGGGAATATAGCTCAGTAGGTAAAAATCCTTGCCTAGTAGGCACAAAGCCCTGGGTTCAAATCCCAGCACACCATAAACTGAGTGTAACAGCACATAACTGTAATCCTAGCAGTCAGGAGGTGGAAGCAGGAGGATAAGTTCAGGGTCATCCTGGTACATAGTTTGAGGCCAGCCTGGGATATATGAAGCCCTGTCTCAAAACCAAAACAGAAAAACCCAAGAGAACAAAACATAATAAATCTGGTAGGACCCAGTATCTTTTTATTTTTAGCTGGGTATAGTGGCGCATGCCTTTAGTTCCAGCACTCGGGAAGCAGAGGCAGGCAGATCTCTGTGAATTCAAGTCTAGCCTGGCCTATGTAGTGAGTTCTAGGACAGCTGGGGCTACAGGGAGACCCTGTCTCAAAAAGACCAAAAATAAAGATTATTTTTAATTATGTGTCTATGTGGGGGTACATGCACGTTAAGTACAGGTTGCCTGCAGAAGCCAGAAGCCATTGGATCTCCTACAGCTGATACAGGAGGTTGTAAGCTGCCTGACATGGGTGCTAGGAACAGAGCTCCAGTTCTCTGCAAAACTAGAAGATACTCTTAACCACTGAACCATGTCTCCAGCCCCCAAATACTTGAGGGTCTCACTGTGTTGACCAGGCTAGCCTCTAACTCACGAGAGCTTTCCTGCATCTGCCTCCTAAGGGTTCGAATTAAAGGTATGCATCACCATGCCTGGCTATGGAAGCAGCCTTGCCCCTTTGTTTTTAGACAAGGTCACATGTAGCCATATAGCAAATGCTGGCTTGGCAGCAACTGATATGTACCTGCTCATCTATTTTTTTGTCCCAAGACAGGGTCTCCCTATAGTCACAGCTGGCCTGGATTCCCTGTGGAGACCAGGCCGGCCTCTGCCTCTGGAGTGCTGGGAGTAAAAGTGTGCACTAACATGCCCAGCTCTGTTGAATTCTTGATCCTCTTGGCTCTACCTCCCAAGTGCTGAGATTATAGATGTAAGCCACTATAGAAGACCAGAGTCTCAAAATCTTCAAATACCAGGCAGGTGAAGAACATAAATACACATAATTTTGGGTTTTTTTTTTTTTGAGACAAGGTCTCCCTATAGCCTCAGCTGGCCTGGAACTTGCTATGTAGACCTGGCTGGCTGGCCTCAATCTCAGAGATCCATCTACCTCTGCCTCCTGAATACTAGGATTAAAGCATGTGGAACCACACTCCACCATAGGTATACTTTTAGTGGTGAGAGCTGAGGTGTACTGATTCTCTCTGACCAAGTTTTTACTGCTTTGAGAATTCAGGCCCAGCACCAAGTTGGGCCCATTAGCTGTCAGGGAGGAGGACCTCCTGAGTTCCTGTCCCTCCCCAAGATTTATCAGCCATTAACAATTAACAATTGCTAGAGGGAAGAGCTCTTGAGGCCTATTCTTTCCTCAAAGATGTATAGACAGCAGTTGCTGGGGGAAGATTTTTTTTCCTTCAGTGGTGTAGCTGCCCACAAACTGTCCAGGCATGTCACTCCAGCTAGTCGTGGTTTCACCAAGCTAGGCATGATGGAATTGTTTCTTTGGTCTGTCATTGGTGAACAGATGTTTGTTGGACTTTGCAGGAAAAGTCTGCACAGCAGTAACCTAGCTTGGCTTCAACTTGTGCTGATCCTGCATTAGCCTTGTGTGTTGGCATTATAAGCCTGTGCCACCACACCTGAACTCTGGCAACCTTGGGTAAAGTGCCTTTACCAACTGAGCCATCATTGCCGCCCAACCCCTCTTAAAAAAAAAAAAAGACAACCATTACATTTGGGGACTGGAAATGGCTCTGATTAAGAGCATGTACTGTTCTTGCAGAGGACCTGAGTTCCATTCCCACCTCACATAAGGTGGCTCAAAACTGCCTGTCTCAGCACTCAGGAAGCAGAGGCAGGTGGAGCTCTCCGAGTTAGGGGCCACCCTGGCCTACATAGCAAGTTCCAGGCCAGCCAGGAGTACACAGTTAGAGCCTCTTTAAGAATTAAAAAAGCTATAAATTATGACATGTTTCCAGCAATCCCGTGAAGCTTTCTACAAGACTAAAACATGGAAGTTAGCTTGTGGCACTGGGATTTGGATTCAGCTGTGACTCGGGCACTGTGTTCTTAGCCACTGTTACACTGTCCAACGGAAACTTAGTCCCAGAAACTCCAGTGGTATCTTTGCATGGTTCAATTCCAATTTTTATTATTTTTCTCCAAATTCTTAGCATTGCTTCCTGCCTTCTGTGCTAGGAATTGTACACAAGGCCTCACACATATTAAGCAAGTTTTCTGCCACTGACATACAGCCCCAGGCCCTGAGCAAAAAAAAGGTGCAGCCCTAACTCCATTTTTACATTTTTAGCCAGTCATGGTGGTGCATGCCTTTAATACTACAGGCTCACAACTGCCTGTCTCAGTACTCAGGAGGCAGAGGCAGGCAGATCTCTTGAGTCAAGGCCAGCCTGGTCTACACAGTAAGTTCTAGACCAGCTGGAGCTAGAGGGAGACTGTTTCAAAAAGACCAAATAAAAAAAGACATTCCATTTCAAGGCCACAGCTATAAAGGTGTGCACCACGCCCAGCTCTGTAACAGTGGCTCTCACATGCAGGTAGCTTTTGCCCAAGTGTTCACCTTACACTCCTATTGCTTTGTGGCAGAACTCAAATCTATTAGGGTTAGCTTCAGTCTGTGCCCCACTCAAAACAGCATGGCTGCCCCTCTGCCAGCAATTTCAGATTCAATTTTTAGTAAAAGTATGTCAAAACAGGTTGGCTTTCATCAGGCATTTTGAACCTTGATACAACAGTAAAACTTCATATACATATATCAAGTTCCTGTTTACTTTTACTAGTTTGCCTTATAAATAGATCTACCTGCCTCTGCCTCCTGAGTGCTGGAATTAAAGGCGGGTACCACCACGCCTGGCCTTTACTTTTATGGTATATAGGCACGTTTACCACAGGACACATATAAGATTAGAGGACAACCTGTGGGAGAGGGTTCACTTTTTCCAGTAGTAGGGCTCAAACTGAAGTGGTAAACTTTGGCGCCTTTACCCAGAGCCATCTTGCCAGTCCTCATCTAAATTATCTAATTTAGTGAAGCTCCTATGTCTAGAGAACAGTAAGCAATTCATGATCTGCTTGTTATATACATTAATATATTGGATTAGATAGATAGGTTGGTCTCAAATTCACTGTATGTAGCAGAGCCTGGAACACCTGATCCTCCTACCTATACCTCCTAAGTGCTGGAATTGTTAAGCATGCACCACCATGCTCAGAGGTATGTAGTGTTATCTTGCTGAATGGCAGGCATTCACCTAAGTGGCTGTGGTGAAATAAACATTCATCTTAGGAAGCCAGGTGCAGTGGCACACACCTTTAATCCCAGCACTTGGGAGGCAGAGGCAGAGGCAGGTGGATCTCTGAGTTCGAGGCCAGCCTGGTCTACATAGTGAGTTCCAGGCCAGCTGGGGCTACAGGTAAAGCCTGTATCAAAAAGACAAACCCATTCCTTTTAGGGGTTCAGGTCACAGTTGGTCCAGAAGCCAGTATCTTCAAGTAAGCTACTTTGTATGTTTGGGTAGTGTCATACTATTTAAAAAAAAAAAAAAAAAAAAGTGAAGGTTTCCCTATAGCCCCAGCTGACCTGAACTCGCTGGGTACACCAGGCTGACCTCGATCTCAAGAGATCCACTTGCCTCTGCCTCCTGAGTGCTGGGATTTAAGGTGTGTACCACTGTGCCTGGCTTTTATTTTGGAGGCAGGGCCTCATATTCTGTAACACTGACTGGCCTCAAACTCACAGGCATGCACCACACCTAGTAAGCAGGTCTCGTTTGAATCAACATTCTTCCTTGTTTCCAGCTTCCTTGTTTCCAGCTTCCTCTTTTGCCCCAACAGGCCACACTGCTGCCTGCTAACTTCACTGTCATTCCCTGAATCTGCTGGGCTCTTTTGGCATGAGATTCATGGTGCAGCTTATAAGTCCATTTCCCCACCCAGTTTACTGTCCATCCTTTGACAGCAACATCACCAATTCTGAATACGTGCTTCTCACTGAAGCCGAGTTAAGCACCTGCTAGTCCTTAGCCACTTTGCTTACTTCTGTTTAACACAATTGTATCATAATGGCCCTTTCACCTGACCTCAACAAATTAACCCATCCATAGTAACTACCCCAACATAGTTGTTAATCAAACTGGAAAGGTCATTACCACTTACCTCAGTTGTCTGGAGAATCTACAAACTATCATTTGGTTTATTTTATACCACAGCTCCTCTACCTTGGAGCAGTGACCTAATTGAAGAATGTACTGTTCCTTGTAGTCTCATTCTTGACCCTTTCCCACCATGCTCTAGACACCTCAAGGCTCTCAAAAGATAACTCTGACCTTCTGGGGTTTGCAGATGTCTCTTCTTAAGATCCGACAATGTGGCAGAAGGCAACTGTGCTGAAGAACTACTACAAAATTCCCATCATGTTGTGGAGGAGTATTTTGTGGCCCCACCAGGTATGTGTCACTTAGAATGGTTTAACAGAGTAGTTCAGATATTCTGAGGATAAAGATTCTATGTAATGACAAAGTGCACACAAATGGTGACATGGAAATGACAGTAGAGTCCAGGAACCATAGAGGCCAATTAGTAACAGAATGAACAAAACAGGACTGGGAGAGGGGAGAAATGTGTGCATGCAATGGATGTCAAATACAAAGCTGGAACCCTGTCTGCCTAAGAGCAGCTGGCATTCCTGCTGTGCTGGTACAAGAGAGGAACATGAACCCATTTCCTCTGAGAATTTAAATGTCTGGCATTTTGTGTGCTACTTCCCCAAATTTTAAGTGTTGGCAACCAGTTCAACCAAGAAAAAAAATAACAAGCCATGCAGGCCAGTTAAAACATACCTGCAAGCCAGATGTATCCTAGCCAGGGTTTATAAACCCTGGTTTGGTGACTTACATTTTTTTAAAAAATTCTTTATTTTTAATGTGTATGCGTGTATTTCTTGCATGTAGGTTAAGTGCACCAGTGTCGTGTAATGCCCACAGAGGACAGAAGAGACTATAGGATCCCCTGGAACTGGAGTTACAGTTGTTAGCTGCCATGTGGGTGCTGGGATTTGAACCTGGGCCTTCTGTAAGAACAGTCAAGTGTTCTTAACCGCTAAGCCATCTCTCCAGCCTGTGACTTACATTTTTAAAAAATATTTTTATTTTGTGTATATTGCCTGCATGTATGTGAGTGCACCCATGTCATGCAATGCCACGGAGATAAAGAGGGCTTTGGATTCCCCTGGAACTGGTGTTAAGGACAGTTTGTAGCCACCATGTGAGTGCTGGGAATCAAACTGTAGTCCTCTGCAAGAGCAGTCAGTGCTCTTAATCGCTGAGCCATCTCTCCAGCCCTGGTGACTTGCATTTTAAAAAAATATATTTTATTTAATTTTTATGTATATGCGTGTGTTGCCTGCATGTACATCAGTGCACCCATGTCATGCAATGCCAGCAGAGGTCAGAAGAGGCTTTTGGATCCCCTGGGACTGGAGTTACAGTTGTTAGCTGCCATGTGGGTGGCTGGGATTCAAACTGGGTCTTCTACAAGAACCACCAGTGTTCTTAACTGCTGAGCCATCTCTCCACCCCCTATTACTTTTATTTTATGTGTATGAGTGTTATGTCTGCATGTAAGAAAGTGCATCCACGTTGAGCAATGCCCAACAAGGACAGAAGAGGCTGTAGGATCCCCTGGAACTGGAGAGTTACCCACAATTGTTAGCTACCATCTCTCTAGCCCAGTGACTTGCATTTTTAACCTTGCTGCAGATATTTAAATGAAAGCCCTTCAAGAACTGCAGAAGCAGTAAGTAGGATGTTGACTATCTCTTATACATAAATAAACAGAGCTTCAGCACTCCCTGGGCATTTTGGGAATGAGAATAACTAAAGCACTCAGGAGACTACTTTCCAAGTTCTAATTTTGCAGTTCAAGACATAGAATTGGGGAGTTTGGGAAGTGGCATTCTGAGCTGCCTCCATATCAAACACCAATTCTAATCAGCTCAGGAGTAATTTTTTCAAGGGTCTCATCAAGACCAAGTGGTTAACAAGGCTCTGGTTAAAGCAAGGATGGAGATATAAGCTAATAACATTGTGAGCTGAACTCTTAAATATACTGCCAATTTACCTCAGCCAGCTGGAGTTTTTATAACCTGGTAGTTGCTCCCGCCTCATCAGATGTATCTACTGATCATGACACAAACAATCTTGCCTCAAACTTCTTATTCTTGGGACAGAGTTAGGTCTTCACTTTTAACTGTTACTTTTTAAACTGGCTGGGAATTGGTAAAACAGGATTGGTGGCTATACTAACACTATTTTCCATGAAAACCATGGGACCAGTTAGTTTAGGAGAGCCAGCTGGACAGGCTCAACTATAACGTTTTTTCTTGTTTCCAAACAGGTCATATTTCTGCCAAAGATGGTAAGCAAGATCCCTTCCCCCACAGCTAAGAAGGAGATACCCTGTCAACATGGTGGATATAGGAGGGTGGCATTTTGTTACTGTGAACTCTACTGTTCCGACTTTCTTCAGTTACCTAAAAAAAAAAGTATGTTTAAGATTTTGTATTGACTGACTCTTCTGAAGACAGAATTGGAAAACACCTAGCCAAAGCAAGGCAATGAGTTCCTGGTGCTAAGAACTAAAAGCACAAGTCTGTGTCCAAGGAAATGGATCAAGTATTCACTTATAGACCTGTTCAGTATGGGAAGCATTGTCCTTTATCTCCCACTAAAAAATACTCCTATCAAAAATTTATCTGTCAATTTACCTGTTTATATCTAGTGGAGAGATCTAATCACTAGGTGGCAATTTTTTTTGAGACAGAGTCTCCTTATACCCCCGATTGTCGTGGAACTATGTAGACCAGGCTGGCCTCGAACTCACAAAGATCTACCTGCCTCTGCCTCTCAAGTGCTGGGATTAAAGGCATGCACCACCACACCTGACATTAAGTGGAAAATTTTTTAGTTTAGTTGCTGTTTCCCTTAACTTGAGGGAAACATCTGTACCAACATATTTGCATTTGTTCCTGGGCACCCACTTTATTCCCACAAGAGGGCTCATCTGATGCAAAGGTCCAAGTGTTCAAAGTAAACTACAACCTGGGAGCACCTAACCTAGAATCTTCTTCCTTCTCAAAAAGTACCACCCCTCCCTTTTATTTGAGCTAGGGCCTTGTACCCCAGGTTGGCCTTGAACTCTTAGTACTCCCCTGCCACAGCCTCTCAAGTACAGGGACAGGCAGAAGCCACCACACTAAGTTCCTTGTTAAGGCGATTTAATTTATCAGGTCAGTCTTTAATTTTAAGAACTCTAAATCTGGGCTGGAGAGATGGCTCAGCAGTTAAGGGTGCTTGGTGCTCTTCAGAGTTCAGTTCCTAGTTCCCACACCCAGCAGCTCACAACTACCTGTTAACTCCAGCTCCAGGGGATCTGGATTGGAATCTGACACCCTCTTCTAGTTTCCATGGCATCCACACACACAAAATATAAATAAAAATAAACCTTAAAAAACTACCCTTGCTAAAATTCTCAAACCACCATGAAAGCAGCTATCGTTATTCCCCAAGTCATCTATTCCTGCATCACAAACTGCTACAACTGTAGCAATGTATCTGTTAGATAAAAATCTATGAACTTAATCAAAGACAATCACACATGCCAATTACTAAACGTTTAAAAATATATTTCTAAACAAATGGGCCGACTCAGTAATATAACTGCTAATCTCCAGAGCACAGCAGCCACAAAAATGCAGCACTAATTTTTTTTTTCCCCCATAATCAGGGGTGAAAAATATACAACTTGTTTCTGAACCAAAGCCACAATTTCTGCAGTTTATAACATTCCACTGCTAATACAGTGACCCTGGTAGAAATTATGTAGTTGTTTGTTTTTTTTTTTTTTCTTTAAAAAATTTAAAAAATTTCCTAAGACTAAGTTATCAATCTGGAATGTAAATTCTGAGCATAAAGCAGCTCAGCTCATCTAAAAAATAAAGAAAAACTTCCCATCGCCTGCCTCAGTAGGGTCTGAAAGGAGAGAAATAGTGTGGGGAAGCCCTGCTTTGGTACGGAGAGTCACGGCCCCTTGACCCAGAGCGAGACCGGGAGTAGCCATAGCTGGTGCTTCTCTCAGGGTAAACTCGGATGTAGGAAGTTTCTCCCTGCAATCCAAACAGAAAAGGGAAAATAATGAGAATAAGCAAAGCCAATGCCTAACCTCAATACTTAATATCTACGTGTGGAGTTCTTACTCTGTGCCTGACACTGTGACCTCGTTAAACTCTTACAATACTATATGGAGGTAGACACTCTTTTAAAAAAACAAAACTTTTATGTGTATGAGTGTTTTGCCTATGTGTATATAAGTGCATCTGTGTGGTGCAGTGTCTGTGAAGGACAGAAGAGGATAGGGGATCCCCTGAAACTGGATTCAGCCACCACGTGGGTGCTGAGAACCAAACCCAGGTCCTCTGCAAGAGCAGCCAGTGTTCTTAACCACTGAGCCAGCCCTCCAGTCCCAAGGTAGGTACTCTTATCATCCCATTTCTAAAAGAAAATTAAGACTTCGCTTATATCATACCTGAGCCACATATTCTGACAAGTCTTCTGACCAAGTTATTATGTGGTCATTTTCCATATGGACAATTTCAGGTTCAGAGTACCAGTTCAGATGAGAAACTAGTAAGTACCAAACCAGGCATGGTGGCGTACACCTTTAATCCCAGCACTCGGGAGGCAGAGGCAGGCGGATCTCTGTGAGTTCAAGGCCAGCCTGGCCTACATAGTGAGTTCCAGGCCAGCTGGGGCTACAGGGAAACCCTGTCTCAAAAAAGACCTAAAGAAAAAGAAAAGAAACTAATAACTAGCAAAAGAAATCATGTATTGTGCCCCTTTTAGCAGCACACATACTAAAATTGGGATGACAAAGAAGAAATTAGCATGGCCTCTGTACAAGATGAAGCATCTTACTAAAATAAATCATGCTCAGGCTGGCTTATCTCCAGGCCCTGTGTCCAGAGCCAGCATTCATAGAAGATCCAAAGGCACTAAGGTGAAAAACACCTGGATTTAAAAGTCAGTCACTGGGCCAACTTTGGTGGCTCAATGCCTGTAATGTTAGCACTTGGGGAGATTGAGGCAGAAGACAACAGTTGAGTTCCTGCTCAGTCTGGGGTACTGCAGAACACTCCAGTCTCAAGAAGCCCCAGGGAAGGGAAAGATGTGGAATGGATTCATCTCTACTGAGCCCAGGTTCTATTCCATTTCTGCTCCAAATTCAAATCATAAAAGACAGAGCAAAAGCATTATTAATCCATGAAAGGACTGGCCTCCAATCCATAAAACTCAGGGATCACATAAATCCTCAGAAAAAGCAATGAGCCCAAAGATCTATGCCACCAGACATCCTTACACATACCACAGCAACTAAGGACAGATCAGAAAGGACAGTATCCAATTGGTGGTCCTGGTCTCAATGGTACTACTTGAGATTGAGAGATACAAAGCAGCAGTTGCCTTTGACATCAAAAACTAAACCCTGGGCTGGAGAGATGCCTCAGTGGTTAAGAGCACAAACTACTCTTCCAGAGGACCCAAGTTCAATTCCCAGAAACTACATCAGGTGGCTTACAGTAACCTTAACTCCAGTTCCTGGGTAATCTGACACTTCTGGCTTTGGTGGGCACCCCCTCCCCCAAGACACACATACACATAAAAAATTAAAATAAATCAAAAAAACACAAGCCCCAAGGCTGTTCAAGACCAGCCTGGGCTACATGAGACACTATCTCAGAATCCCAAAACAAAACAAAAATTCTTGGGCTTAGGTTTCAGAGAGAAGCTTGAACTACATTGGGAAAGGAAAAATAGAGAAAACTTGGCCCTGACAGCAGTATGTGGAGGGGATAAGGTTGGCCTATAGGGCTTAGAGGAGACCTAGAAGAGGAAAAAAGCCCCCTTAGAACAGTGATGTTCAAGCCAACTGTAAAAGGGATGGTTTCAAAGGGTAACAACACATTTTGACAAACTTCACAAGCATTTTCTTTTTATGTTATCGATTGTATATGTGTGTTCCACAGTGTGCATGTGGTAGTCAGAGGACAATTTTCAGGAGTCCTTTCACCATGTGGGTCCCAGATATCAAATTCAGGTCATCAAGGCTGGTGGCAAGTTCCTTTACCTGCTGAGCCATCTCATGTGTCCAAACTTCACCAGCATTATCTCTACATTAAATATATCATGAATGCAGAACTTTGTTGTAACCTTGCAGGGCTTGTGAATAGCCAAAGATAGCTATTTAATAGGTCATCAAATGGCAAACTCATGTCCTGTTACTATTGTTAGATGTAGGTGGAAAATACTCAGTAGGAACCAACCTCATGAGAGCGGAATTTGGTGTCGTCCAGTTTACGCAGGGCATATTCCATGTCTTCTTTTCTGAGATACTCAACCATACCCATTCCATCCTTTTGTACATCTGCATAACAGACGTCCCCAGCTTCTCGCATGTGATCTTTCAGGTCTTGCCAGCTGCCTGATGGAGGAAGTCCTAGGCACAGAGAAAGCAAAAGAAGTCACTAAAGTCACAAATACTTACAAGGGGCACAAAACCAGATGAAATGTACTTATGTATGATAAACCGCCTCAAGAAGCTGATCTAGTCTCTTCCAGAGACTAAAACTTTCCAACAGCATCCTGTTACAGGTTTAGGACCTCTGAGAAGTAGCCTCTTCATCCTTCATATTAGCGTGGAACTCTCAAAAGTGAGTTCCATTTTTTTCTATTATGAAATTCGTACCAATTATTTCTTGCCTAACCAAGTTTCCCAGGACATGGGAATTTTGAAACAAGCCAATGAAATAACCAAGTATAGCTGAGGATAAACAATACAACAAAAATCTGAAAAGTTTATTTTCTTACAGGAATGAATGACTGACAAACCAAAGTACCTCCTAAGAGATCATCAACATTCTTCACTACATTGGGGGTGGGGGAGTAACACTCAGATGCTAAAACTAGTTGGGAGTCATACGACCCTACCTGATGTCATGAAAGGGAAATGTGCTCCTGCTCTCAAAGGCTGTGTTTACCGCTCACAGCTCAGTCAGGACTGCAGCCATTTCCTAATAGTTTTCTAAGCAGGATTTCAGAGCAGCATGGAGAGAAAAAAAGATAATGTATGACATCTTGAAGGAGGGAATAGAGTCCTAGGGTTAAAAATTACAAAGGGACACAAGACAGGCAGGTACTATCACTGTTGTACACATGGACTTGACTGTGATTGTGGGACAGTCCCATCTTTAAAAGGTGTCAACCTAAGCAAGTTTCACTCCACTAAGGCCCCCAAACTTCCCTGCAGCATGCAGAAGGCCCCAGGTCTTTAACACTGCATTAATATTTCAAAGATACATAAACCTCTGAGCTTAGCATTTCATCCATTATTTGCTGACAAATGCTCTATACTTTCCAATACAATCCCCAAGATTCCAAGTTGTGTGATTTCCTCTTCTTTTTCTTTCTTTTTAACAGAATTCCAAAACCACCACACGATTGGCCCTTTTCAGGATCCAAGGCTGGATAAGTTGTTTAAGTCTAGCTCCTGTAATGTCTTTTTATCAAGTCAGATACCAAAGTATGTTCCAAAAGAAAATATTTTTAGAATTCCAGGTCAGAGTTTTAATCATCTTCCCTTCTCATTGCTACAAAACCACTTTATAAAAACCGTGTTTATGGGAATAGAGAGATGGCTCCATGGTTAAGAGCACTGAGTACTCTTGCAGAGGACCAGGGTTTGAGTCCTAGCACCCACATGGCGGCTGCTAGCCGTCTGTAATTCCAGTTCCAGGGGAATTCGACACCCTCTTCTGACCTCCAGGGGCACTGCACAACACAGGTGCACTTACACACATGCAAGCAATACATGCATACACATAAAATTTAAAAAAAAAAATTGTAATGTTTATGTTCTACCAAGGCTATATTACTAGCACAGTTTCATTTGTAGGGTACCTGCCTCCCTCACAAGCCAGGGCAGAGCTCAGACTGTCAGTGTGCACAGACTATTGAAAACTCCACAGCCAATATTCCTTGGTGGCCAGACTCTTCAAAGTAATTTACATGCACCATCTCATTCAGCGTGAACGTAACATACCTGAAACAAGAACTCGAAAATCAGAACGTCTGGTAGGAGGCCCATTCCTTGCACTTCGGGGCCACCCACCCCGACCTCCAAAAGTCCTGGGGAACTCCACACGAAGCCGACACTGGCCATAATCATAACCATTTCTTCCATAAATTGCATCCTCAGCATCTCTGCAAAGAAAAGCTTGAAATAAGTGCTGCTCAGGAGGCTAAGTGACTTCTCAGTGAAGGGTTGAGTAATTAAGAGGGAAACTCCACATCAATGAAGTTTAAAAAAAAAAAAACACAGGATTTTGATGTACTTCAGCTTTGGTCAAAGACCTTTAATGTTACTGAATGAATACTTCACAGCTGGGCGAGCAAGATGGCTCAGTCAATAAAGTCGTTTGATGGGCAAGCCTAACAACCTGAGGTCAATTCCTAGAACTCATATGGTGCAGAGAGGCCAGATTCTCAAGGGTTGTACTCTGACCACATGTGCACTATGGCACATGTGCATAAAAGTTCAAACTCATTAATTTGCCAATAAATCAGTTTCTCTAATCGTACATTTTACATTAGACTCCTTAATATTCTTCCACAAAGCCCAATACCAAGAGCTTATGGAAAAAATATTTAAAGATTCAAAAGGCCAGGTGTGGCAGAGCACACCTGTATCCCAACACTGGAGAGGATCAGGCAGGATGACTGCTGTAAATCTGAGGCTAACCTGGGATAAACAGTGAAACCTTGTCTCACATACACAAAAAAAGGATCCTGGACTCCTAATGTGGCACATGCCTTTAGTCCCAGGACTCAGGAGGCAGAGAGGCTAGTGGATTTTGGTGAGATTGAGGCCAGGCTACTCTACATATCAAGTTCCTGGCCAGGAGACCCTGTCTTCAAAAGAAAAAGGCAAAAAGAAAGCCAGGTGTAATTGTGGTGGTACTTCTCAGTAATCTTAGCACTAGGGAGGATGAGGAAGGACCGAGGGACTAAAAATTCAAAGCCAGCCTGTACAACAGATTGTGCCTCAAATAAAAAAGCAAAACCAAGGGGCTGGGGAGATGGCACAGCGGTTAAGAACACTTGACTGTTCTTACAAAAGACTGGGGTTTGAATCCCAACACTCACATGGCAGCTAACAACTGTCTGTAACTCGAGTTCCAGGGGATCCAACAGCCTCTTCTGTCTTCTGCAGGTAGTGCACAACACAGGTGCACTTACCTACATGCAGGCATAACACTCATACACATAAAAAAATTAATAAAAAAAGCAAAACCAAAAAGGATCAAAGGAAACGCAAATGAGTATAATAAAAATAGTTTTGTGTGTGTACCTTACATAGCCCAGGCCTTAAACTCATGTTCCTCCTGCCTCAGTCTCTCCAGTGTCATTACATGCAAGTGCTAGGATTAGAGGCACATGTCACCACAGATGGCCAAAATTATTCTTTTTTGTTTTTTGGTCTTTTTGAGATAGCGTTTACCTGTAGTCCTCGCTGGCCTCCAACTCACTATGTAGACCTGACTAGCCTCAAACTCAGAGATCCACCTGCCTCTGCCGTGCTGGGATTAGAGGCTTGCACCACCACACCTGGCATTATTCTTTCTTAGAGAGTTATTTCTAATTATGTGTATGTCAATGCCCATGGAGGCCACAGGCATAGGATCTCCTGAACTGGGGCTAGATTTATAGGGTGTTATGAGCTGCCAGTGTGGGGGCTGGGAACCAATTCTGGTTCTCTACAAGAGCAGTACATGCTCTTAACCACTGAGCCATCTCTCTAGCCCAAACAAAACTCTTTCAAGTGGAGCTTTTTAAAAAAAAATTTATTATTTTTATTTTATGTGTATGTGTGTATTGCCTGCACGTAGGTTAAGTGCACCTGTGTCATGCAACTTTTTCAGTAAGACTTGGAAAATACACTTTTGTGTGTTTGTGGTATAGGAACTGAACCCAGGGCTCTGTGCCTGCTAGGCAAACTTACACTGAGCTACAACCCAGCCTTTTTGTATTTATGTTGAGACAGGGTCTTACTAAGTTGCCCAGGTGGCCCTTGAACTTACAATCATTCTGTATCAACACCCTGAGTAGCTAAGCACAGCTGAGAACCACATTTTCAAAACCACTCTGGGCAGTTTTACTAAAAGGTAAGTAAATATTCAATTTGTGTGTGTTGCTGAAGACTGAACACAGAGTGATCTCAAAAATGCTAGGCAAGCCAGGTGTGGTTCAGCACACCTTTAGTCCCAGAACTTGGGAGGCAGAGGCAGGAGAAGCTCTGTAAGACAAGACCAGCCTGTTCTATAGAGTTCTAGCCCGGCTGAGGCTACAGGGAGACCTTGTCTCAAAAAACAAAATGTTTGGCAAGCCAGGAGTGGTGGCACATGCCTGTAATGCCAGCACTTGGAAAGTGGAGGCAGAAGTATCATCCTCAAGGTCATCCTTAGCGAATGAGTTCAAGGCCAGCCTGAGCTACAGGAGACCCTGTCAAAAAAAAAACAAAAAGAATGTCAGCCAAGTATTATGCAACTTAGCCACACTCCCAGCCCAAGAATATACATTATTTTTAAGTATTTCAGAAGCTCTAGGAATTAGGTATGCCAAGTTGGCTCTCTACTGCTGGAGGAGGGAAAGAATAGCCTTAGAGCTGAAAGTGGCACTCAGGATCACAAGCACAAAACAGTTTATCAAGCACACTTCTAATCCTAACACTTGGGAGAATGAGACTGAAAGTTTGATGCCAGCCTGGGCTACAAAAAAATACTTTCAAAAGTAAACAAAAATAAAAATTTAAAAGAAGGCCAGGTGTGATAGTGCATGCCCTTGACCCTTTGGGGAGGCAGAGGCAGGCAGATCTCTGTGAGTTCAACGTCAGCCTGGTCTACATTGCAAGTTCTGGGCCAGCCAGGGATTCCTGGTGAGACTGTATCTTAAAAATAAAAAAACGGGGCTGGGGAGATGCTCAGCAGTTAAGAGTATTTACTGCTCTTGCAGAGGACCTAGATTCAATTCCCAGCACCCACACGGAGGCTAACAAGCATGTATAACTCCAGTTCCTGGGGCTCTGACGCCCTCTTCTGACCTCCGAGGGCATTGCAGGACATGGATACAACTACCTACATGCAGGCAATATACGAATACACATAAAATAAAATATTTTTTTTTAAAAAATCAAACAAAAAGTCTAACACAAAATTAAGAAAAACCAAAGCATCAAGGAACACATCCAGGACAACCCTGTCTGGCCTAATGTATGATAATTGAGCATGAGGAGGGAGGACAGTGTTCAGGGCAGGCATTGTATATAAGCTTGGAGCTCATTCTTCTGTCACTTAGTCATCCTCAGCCTCTAGTTACCTGTTTAATCAAGCGGTTTTATAAACCTAATGTGAAAAATGAGCCTATCTCATAGGACCATTGAAAGCATTAAATATAATATGCTAAGTGCTTTGAAACGTCTCAAATATAGTTTATTATGAAAAAAAATTTTTAAGTGTCGATGTTAACGTCACACAGTCACTGTATTTTAAGGCGTAACAGGGGTCCAACTCCTATCTAAACACCTGTCGTACTAAACATTTCCTCACCTATAAAATGAGGTCAGCAGAATATGGCTCACAGGTTGTTGAAAATGCTAAGTACACAGCATGGCACTTGAGACAGCAACTGCTCAAAATGCATGGTAGCACTGTTAACAAGACATACATAGCTTTCTTCCGTTTACATGTAAATTGCCCAGTTCCACTTTAGAGGCTAGAGCTGTTGCTCTACAGCCTCGACCTCAGATGATCTCCTAGCCCAATCCACACCTTCAAAACCCACCGACAGAACACCCAACACTCCTGGAAGTCAGCCCAATACACACCTTCAAAACCCGCCGGCAGAGCACCCAACACTCCTGGAAGTCAGGCAGAGATGAAGCCTTCCTCCAGATCGTGCTGGGAAGGCAGGGGGCCGCCCCTACAGAACACCAGTGGAGTGACCACTGTAATGCAGTGCCTCCTAAAACGCACCAACCGAGTTTTGAAAGTTCCTGGGCATTTTCTGGCGCAAGGGCCAACAATGTTTGCAAAACCACAAAGACCCCTTTCAGTTGGTTTGGGATCCAGCATTTCCAGATCCCTGGTACCTTCAGCATCTAGCAGGGCCTCCCTCCCCCGTGAGAGGGGAGGGGAATCACAGTGCCCTTCGGACGGTTTAATCCCTGACTCTTCTACAAGAACTGGGCGCTGTCTGCCTGGGGAGCGGCGGGAAGAGCTTCTGTCAGAGACCCTTTAGGCCTCCAGGGGCTTCGCCGTCTGTTCCCCGTAACGGCAAGGTCTGGTGGCGGGGCGGGGTGGCGACTCCTACTTCTGCCTTCTCCGAGTCCTTACCCGGGGGACACACGGGCCCCAAGGCCTGGGCGCTTCCCCTTCGGGGTGCTGTCGAGGGGCTGAGCCAAGGCCGCCCAGGCCGGCAGGCTCGGGCCCTGCAGAGGCCAGACTTCGTGGGGGGGGGGTTGCTTTTTTTTTTTGTCTTTTTGAGACAGGGTCTCCCTGTAGCCCCAGCTGTCCTGGAACTCACTATGTAGACTAGGCTGGCCTTGAACTCACAGAGATCCGCCTGCTTCTACCTCCCGAGTGCTGGGATTAAAGGCGTGCACCACCACGCCCGGCTGAGACTTCGTGTTTTTAAGTGAAATAATAAAGGAAGTGACGGCGGGCACGGTCGAGAGAAGCAGCCGCCTTCTCCAGCCGGGGGACACGGCGAGAGGCCGGCCCAGGAGAGGGGGGGGGGAGGGACAGGCCGGGGGTCCTCACCGGGGGTCCTCGAAGCGCACGAAGGCGAAAGGCACAAGGCCGTGCCGGTTCTTGAGCTCGATATCGCGGATGCGGCCGTACTTGTAGAACAGGTCCTCCAAGTCCTTCTCGCGCACGTCGCTCGGAAGGTTCCCCACGTAGATGCGCCCGTCGCCCTCGCCGCCGCGCTCGTCCGCCCAGCCCGACATCCGCACCGCCCGACGCCGCGGGCTCGCCGCAGCCCACGTCGCGCTGCCGCAGCCTCAGCCTGGATCCCCCACAGCGTCCCGCGGGCTCCAAGGCGCTCAGCCGCACTGCATTGTGGGAGCGTGAAGCGGAAGCTCAGGGATCGGAGACTACAGTTATAGTCTTAAAGGGGAAGTTGTCGCGACGTGTGCGCATGCGCAGAGACCGGCACCGCCTAGCTGTGCTGGCGGGCTGGCGGGACTGGAAGAGATGGGGTTTAGGTTTCCGGCCCCGAGTGGATTCGCTGTGCCTTGGACTCCCAAGCCTTGGTTTTTAGCTCTGGAGCGCCGCCTAGGATCCGAGCCTTGGCTGCAGCTCTCACTCCGAGTGCTGGGCACGGGCAGGGAGGCCCACTCCGCAGGGCCTCAGCGAGTCCCCGCTCCGGGCTGCCCTGGCCGGAAGCCCCAGGCCAGCAGCTTCTGCACCACCGTTCCCCATTCTGCAGTTCCTTAGACGGTGAGTGCAAGCCTTGAGTGGTCTCCAGAGTGAGGATGTAGAGATTATGGGGGCCAAGAGTGTGAAAGACTCCAGAAAAACTCCCACAACAATCACCGTAGAGTTTGGCCCCTGATGCATCCTGGGTTACATAGCGAGCTTGAGGCCAGCCTCGGAAACAAAACAAGCGGCTTGGAGAGATGACTCGGAGTTAAGAGCACTCACTGCTCTTGCAGAGGACCCGAATTCAATTCCCCACACCCACATGACGACTAACAGCCGCCTGTGTAACTCCAGTGCCAAGGGATCCGACACCCACTTCTGACCTCCGCGCGGGCACCGCAGGACACGAGTGGACCTACCTACATCCAGGCATTACACGCAACACATAAAATTAAAATTAAAAATTAAACAAAACAAGGGGGCTGAAGTTAGGCAGTTAGGCGCACTTGCTGCAGACTCATCAGGTCACAATCCTATGTAACTCCAGCTCCAAGGGGTATCCAGCACCTCCAGCTTCTGTGGGCACCAGCATTCAAGTTCACATACCGGCCCCCCCCCACACATAATTACAATGATGAAAGTAAATCTTTTTAAAAACAAAACATGGGGCTGGAGAGATGGCTCAGCGGTTGAGAGCACTGACTCCTCTTGCAGAGGACCCGGGTTCAATTCCCAACACCACCTTGCGGCTACGAACTGTCCTTAACTCCAGTTCCAGGGGAATCTGAAGCTCTCTTCTGACCTCCACAGCATTACACGACACGGGCGCACTCACATACATGCAGGCAATACACTTATACACATAAAAATAATAATTTTTTTTTGTCTTTTTGAGACAGGGTCTCCCTGTAGCCCCAGCTGTCCTGGAACTCACTATGTAGACCAGGCTGGCCTTGAACTCACAGAGATCCGTCTGCCTCTGCCTCCCAAGTGCTGGGATTAAAGGCGTGCGCCACCACGCCCCACAAAACAAATTTTTTTTTAATTAAAAAACAAAGCCTATAATCGAGCCCAGCCCTCTTCTGGCATTGCTCGACATGGATGCACTTACCTCCATGCAAGTAAAGTGCTCATACACATAAATATGAACAAATTTTTAAAAATTGTAATCCAAACCGACATGGGTGGGTGGATGGGTGGGTGGATGGGAATGTGAGTATAATGAAGTAAATATAGCAGAATGCTGACTGGCACTCATGTGGTGAGTGTTGACTGTTCACCATTGTTTCAACCATTCTGTGTTTGAAATTTTTCATAATAAAATGTTGGCAGGGGTGTGTAGGATGGGATGACACATACCACTGATCCCAGTACTCTAGAGGTTGGGGCAGGAGCATCAAGTGTTGGGAGGCCAGCCTGGGCTACAGCATAAGACAATGTCTCAAAAAAAAAAAAAAAAAAAAAACCCAAGAAGTTCTCACAATGATTATGTTTATCATTCTGTGCAGTTAAGAAAATGAAACTCCTAGTAACGAGTGACTCAACACAACATTGAATGACACACAATTACTGATTCATGTTTTTAATGATACTAATTTAGTTATAATTGAAGTAAATTAAAATGGCATTTAATACCTATATGTCCACAAAATTCTGAAGGGATCTATTAACTACCTATACCTATAAAGGTATATCAATTACCTATAAAGAATAGAACTTTGGTGGGCTAGAGAGATGGTTCAATGGTTAAGAGCTCTTGCAGAGGATTGCTGATTGCTCTTGCAGAGGACGGGGATTTGATTCCCAGCACCCACATTGTGGCTACAAACTGTCCTTAACTCCATTTCCAGGGGAATCTGGCACCCTCTTCTGACCTTCCGAGCATTGCGTGACATGGGGGCACTCACATACATGCAGGCAATACATTCATGCACATAAAAATAGCCGGGTGTGGTGGCACACACCTTTAATTCCAGCACTTGGGAGGCAGAGGCAGGCGGATCTTTGTGAGTTCAAAGCCAGCCTGGTCTACATAGTTCCAGGACAGCTGGGGCTACAAGGAGACCCTGTCTCAAAAAGATAGATAGACAGATAGACAGATAGATAGATAGATAGATAGATGATGGATGGATAGATAAAATATATTAACAATAATGATCATTTTAAAAATGAATAGAGCCTTGGAAACTTTTCATCTTAGATAGTCATTTCTGTAGAACTGATGATTATTACTGGAACTATATTACATTTTCATAAACTGAAAAAAAGGAAAAATTATATGATATTCCAGTTCTGTGCCTATTCATGCATACATCATACGTAAATATATATGTAAACAGGTATTGCTTATAACAACAACAACAACAACAACAACAAAACCCAGAAAACCTTCCAGAAGGGTGTGATGGTTCATGCACACCTGTCATCTCAGCACTTCAGAGATGGATGCAGGATCATTCTCAGCAACAGGTTGGGTTAATGACTGCCAAGGCTACAGCAGACCCTGACTCAAAATAAATAAGTGTTTAAAAAATTAAAAAGTAAAAATTTTAAAGTGAAAAAGGAAACCTTCCAAATGTTTGTGGAGATATTTTTCAGTTTTTCTATATTTGTAGAGACATCTGTTGATAGCAGTGACTTCTCTATTTTTATACTTTTCTATGTTTATCTATTGTAATTAGCCTGTACTACTTTTATAAGTGGAATAAAACATAATAAACAATTTCTCAAATAAAACATTCAGACTGTGCATTATCGCTTGAGAATAAAATGATTCTAGCTGCTCTTGCTGGACTTCAGAAGACAAGCAGGAAAGCTCCCTGGCTAGATATGATCTGAGTATCATAAATGCATTCCAAGCAGGGCATGGGGGCACATGTCTTTAATCCTAGCACTCAGGAGGCAGAGGCAGATGGATGTCTGTGATTTCAAGGCCAGCCTGGTCTACATAGTAAGTTCTAAATCAGCCAGAGCTTCATAGTGAGATCCTGTCTCAAGAAAAACAAAAAGATCTTGAGTTGGTGAGATGGCTCAGTGGGTAGAGGTATTTGCTGGCAAGCCTGACAACCTGAGTTTGATCCCCGCACATACATGGTGGAAGGAAAGAGCTGACTCACACAACTTGTCCTCTGACTTCCACATATGCACATGCACACACTCAAAAAAATTGAGAAGAAAAAAAAATATATCTTAAGGAAGATTTTCAGGAGATATTTAGCCTTAGTCCTGAGGGACCAGTAGGAGTTAACCTGAAGTTCAAGTTGGGGGGAGAAAGGAGAGGAACTGGGGCTGGCTTACAAGGCCTACTAGACAATATCATGGATTTGTTGAAGGCACTGCCACTAAAGGTGTGTGTGTGTGTGGAGATTGAAGTTGGGTATCTTCCTCTACCTTATTTTTTGAGACAGGGTTTCTCACTGAACCTGGAGCTCACTGATTAGACTAGAGTAGCTGGCAATAGAACTGCAGGGATCCGCCTCTCTCAACCCCCCCACCACTCCCAGGGCTGGAGTTACAGATGCATATTGCTGAGCCCAGCTTTTTTATGTAGGTGCTGGGGATCTGAACTCATATCCTTATGGCAAGCACTTTACTAACTGAGCCATCTGGCCAGTCCTCACTAAAAGGTTTTAAGGAATTATACTGGAATGAAACTAGTAGGGAATGACAATGTAGTAGGGGAGGAGATAGAACTAATTTGACCATAGGGCAACTGCAGGATATTCAGGGAAGAGGATGGAAGGAAATGAGGGACAGTTGTGATTTCAGCTGTTATTATCAAGGAACCTAGAGAAAAGGGTGGGTAATTAAAGGGACAGTGTAAGAAGCAGCACTGTAATTGCAGTGTAAATTCCCTCCTGTGACCTTTACAGAGCTGGAGAGATGGTACAGTGGTTAAGGGCACGGAGTGCTCTTGCAGAGAACCTGGGTTCAGTTCCCAGCACCCACATGGGGTCTAACAACAATCTGTAACTCCAGTTCCAGGGGATCCAACATTACCTTCTCCCTTTTTTTTTGTCTTTTTGAGACAGGGTCTTCCTGTAGCCCCAGCTGTCCTGGAACTCACTGGGTAGACCAGGCTGGCCTCAGAGATCCGCCTGCCTCTGCCTCCCAAGTGCTGGGATTAAAGGCGTGTGCCACCACTCCAGTCTCCAACATTACCTTCTGACCTCCGCAGGCACTGTACAAATTTGGTACACTTACACACTTGGCAGGAAAGCACTCATACACATAAAATTAATTGAGTAAAAAAATTGATGTACTGAGCTGAGCATTATGTCAAATGTCCTTAATCCCAGGATTTAGAAAGCCTCTGCAGGAAGGAGCTTGAGTTTGAAGCCTTGCCTTAATGAATGAATGAATACACTTCCCACAATGAGCCATTTTCTTGCAGAGAGTAGGGCAGTGTTCAATTAAATACGAAACAAAACAAAAACCCTAACATCTTCAAACCTGCCCATCGGGTTTTGCCCTTCTTCTGTGATGTCAGCCCTTCTGGCGTCTCAGTAAAATGTTTCCTTCTGTGTCAGGTTCAGTCATGAACTTCTCCCAGTAGGCAGAAGGGGGAGTGATAAGAAATAAGTCAGTGGGAAGATGAGTCATCTTAGGGAAATTTGGTTTAGGCTAGCTGGGTGGGTTAGGTCACTGGAACGTGTTCTTGGTCACAGTAGTCTGAGAGCTTGCTGAGTATAATGTTCCACTATATTGTAAGATGCGGCA